TAAGGCTGGCGTGTGATGGCCTCAGGCGGGTAAAACCGAGGAAGGGATTTTCCGCCGTTGTTACGACAGCAACAACCCAATCAAACCCTTCTGGGCCTTTGAAATTTAGATCCGTCCCCACCCCATCATGGACGCCTGCAGACTATTCAAAGACGTAATGGTCTGTAAAAATAAGAAAATTATACAGAGCCCCCTCCCCTACTTTCCAAAAATTATTTGTTTCTTAAATGGTAAATTTACAAACAGAAATTGCAGAAGGCTTCTATTACCTCCTGAAAACGCTTCCATTTCAGTACGGCAGATCATTAAAGGAAAAAAAAAAAAAAAGATGTCCACTGTGCCGCTTTAAATCATAACACAACGTCAGGTGACGGTGACAAATATGATGATCACAAAGCAAATAATGGCTTATTGAAATACAAAAGCCTTCTTCTTCCCAAAGGTAGTCAGTCCCCCCACAAAAAATAAAAAAAAAATTTAAAAAAGGGGAGGGGGGCAGGGGGGCTGACTCGCAGCTTCTCACTTCCACTTAGCGACTCTATTGTTGAAACGTCTTATACACAATGGTCTCTGACGTCTTTCTGGCCAGTCATGACGGCGCTGACATTTTTCCAGCGGTTGTCTTTGGGGCTGTAGCCTGGGGTCCGGTGGGGCGCCTTGAGGGGCAAACTTGAACTGTACGTGATGCAGATCATCTCCCCACTGGAGTGCATTGCGCTCTTGGAGTACTTGTAAACCGGGTACTTCCCCGCCTTGGCTCCGCACAGCTCTTCCTCCAGCTCAAGCTTGCCTTCCGGCTGCTCTTCCCTTTCATCACACGTCCGATAGGAGGGCCCCATGAGCCTTTCGCGCTCCTGCTCGGCCTCCCTGTTGCTCTCTTTCAGCAGCTGCTGCTGTTGCTGCTGCTGCTGACATCCCGGCATCAGGAGAAGTGCCTTCCGATGGTTGTTGACGGTGTCGTTGGCCGGCGAGCACGCGTTCCTTTCGCGCTCTTTTCTCCGTTTGCGAGTCCACCAAACGCAAACGCAGACGAAGCAGAGCAAACCAAAGAGAATGCAGAACAGAGGTGCCAGGTAATCTGTTGGCGCGGACAGATGACAGATGGTTCAGCGAAGGGACATGACAGAGTCACCGTGACAGTTGAATAACGCCTTTTGTGGAAAAGTATTTTTAAGTCTCTGATAAATACAGGTGCCCTTTAAAGCCATTATTGCTCGGTACTCACCAAATGAACGGGATGTGACCAGTGGTTCCACTTTGGCGTCAATGACCGCTGACATGATGCCGCTGCTGTTTCTCTTGGACAAGGCGCTCACTACGTTGTTGGCCGTCTCCTGGATTAGGCTGTTGTCTGTGAGATCCTCAGGCTGGAAAGACTATCAACCGAGTAAGACAAGATGCAATCACTTGTGAGTCCCAAAAGATGCACTGACAACATCGACTGTTACTATGATCGCTTCAACGAAAGAGCGTTCTATCAATGTAATCATTTGACAATTTTTTTTTAATCATCCCGCCTTTTGTCAGTCATGATAGGAACATATTGAGGTGTCAGGCAGATAGTACAAAGAATAGGGTGCTACATCACAGGCAGCAGCCCAATCACAGACAGACACGCAACAGCGTGCTGAAATAAAAACAACGTGGGGCAATATCATTGCGGTCTACGGGACCTGAGGTCTACAACACAGCTTCCAGTAGCGGTCGGGACTGAGCCAAAAAGGAGCAGGCTTGGACAATGAGGGGGGGTCGGGGGGTGGATCTGGTGAGTGCAGTGACTCGTTTGCAGCTGTTGAATCCAGACAGGCCGGGGGAGTCGGGATACTTTTTCACTCCTCCAGTTTCCAACTAATAACCTCGTGTTTGCGACATCCTTTTTAGCTCAGTTGACTTAAGAGTGCCCTTTCTGTATAAATGCAGGGACAATTGAATTGAGATACTGAGCGGAGAATATCATGACTGTGATTAAAGGGACATCAGGAAATTTGATTGAATTTCTTTCTTGCAAGCATCGAATGGACATTTTGACTAGTGTAGTAAATGAAGTGCTACCTTCACAAGTGAAAATGCTGCTGTGCGTTTTTTCTCTTCGCTCCTCTCTTGGTTGTCATAGCAACGAAAGCCACGCATACCCGGCTTTATTTCTTCCCGTGTGTTTTAAGTCTATTGAAATTGTTTATCTTTGGGTAGTGCTGATCGACAGACAAGGTCCTCGGGGCACCTGAAAACTGTTTTAAATTCTGAAATAAGGAACACAATATGTCTCCTTTAAAGGTAATAGGCTCGGGAAGATAAACAAGGAAAGGAAAGGACACAGTCCAGGAGGCGTGCTGAAAATGTGATTTTAGAGATATAGCATAGTAAGACAGAGAAGACAAAAACACCTTACATGGTTATCAGTGATTAGAATTCATTGACTTACTATGGCCACTTCCACGGCGTCCTGACTGGAGTGAGACAGGTCACACAGCAGGACAAGGGTGTGGTCCTTAGCCGAAGTTCGAGTGGCCGGAAGATACCTCAGCTCAAAGCAGATGTTCTCCACCGTTGTTCCCTGAGAGCAAAAATCCAATCACAGTGACGGGCAATAATACAAAAAAGGGAATTCCATCTCAAGAAATCACAGAGCACGAGAAGATGAGACTCACCGGCGGGACTTTGTCTTTGTCGAAAATCAGTGTGATGCGGCCACAGTTGTTGTTCAGTTGCCCGCTGTTTGGCTGACATTCGGTGCTTGTCTGTGTGAGCGCTTGGGCGCAAACCCCCCACTGATGACAAGGAGCTGAAAAACACGTGAGGTATCTGTGTGCTTCACATTTACGTCTGGCAGGGCAGGGCTGAATGCTCGCGTCCTGGCCTGAGACCGGCAGGCGGCAGGGCCGTTGACCACACTGAACCTGCGGAGGACAAAAAGGTGCGGAGGACATTCTGGTCAAATATCCTGCATGTTGTATACGGATGAGAATAAAAAGCAACACCGGGGCATTAAACCGACACGCCGCAAAGAGCTTCTTAACTTCTGCGAAGACTTGACGACATGATTTACAAGTGCAAACATGACTTGTGGATTGACAGATGCGGAACATGCTATCAAAAAAGTCACCTTTGTGCAGTCCACTTTGCCGTTGCCACAGTAGCAGCTGTTACACTCCTCCTCCCATCGGCTGTCGTGAGGTAACTGAAGCCCAGCGTAGGGGCATGACTTCCCAATACCTATGACTTGACACACACACATGAAATAGCCACGTTGAACATCCCGTATGCATGGATGAAGGATACCAAGTCAATATAGATGCAAATGTATCTTAAACATGGGGGGGAGTATTTACATTCTTGACATCGGACTCCTGTTCTACTGCGTGGACAAATGCAACGAAAACCGTTGATCTCATCCACACAAGTTGCGCCGTAGGCACATGGTGAAGACTGGCACTCGTTGATATCTGTGGGACAAAAATGGCAGCGATTAGATGCATAGCCTGGCCACTATATATATATATATATATATTTTTTTTTTTTTTCATACTCCGCAAAGCAAATTGAATTTCATCACAAGGCAATGAAAACTTAGGCCAGAGGTACAATAAACTCAACGTAAAAGTGTGTGAAACAACATCATCTTCCCCATTTCCCGCGGTCAACAAGAAACTTCGGCCATCGTCATTTGAGACGCACACAAACAGTCGGAGTGAGAAATCTCAAATTCAAGCTGGACAGGAAAGGTGGACACTTTCTGGCCATAACAAAGGCGGATCGAAGAAGAATTTCAGGGTCACTGGTTAATTTGTCTTATGTGGGCATTTGTGTGACTGTGTGAATATAGAGGAGGGGTGACCTTTGACCCCCGGAGGCATTTCGGAACAAAGGACATGCCGAGAGGGCGCCGTCCGGGGCTTGGATTTTGGTGATGATGCGACCCCACAATAGTTCTGTTTGAACTGCACTGATGACTGTGCTTTATAATGAGATAAACCTCACGTCGGTACTTACTGATTCTGCAGTTAGGTCCGGTAAACCCGGGGGCGCACTCGCATCTGAAAACGTTGACTCCGTCCACACAGATGCCTCCGTTGTAACTGAAAGGAGGGCAGGCATTAAATGATGATTACATGAGAGTGTACAAAATCCACATCCTTTCCATTTGCAACAAAGCACATCATTTGTGCGTGCGTGCGCGCCCGCGCGGTGTTTGAGGGGGGTTACAAAGCTCAATTCAACTCATCAATACAAGCTTCCACCTTTCAGATGCTAATAGGCGTGTCCAGTCCCCTCCCCGCCTACCTCTCATCATGCCACTCTTCCATTCCCCCTCAAAGCCCAGCCCAGCATCCCCCCCCCACCAACACCCCCTCCAGGTCGCACAGAAAGAAAAGGGACATGTGCACCACCTCCTCCACTGCTTTCCCACCCCCCACCTGCATTCACCACGGGGTAGTTGGTATTACTCCACCTCTCCCTGTCCCTATTCAATTCCCAAAGCTCTCTGCTTGTGAGATGGCCCTTTGAGGCTTGATTTGAGGACACCTTCCGCTCCTTTTAGGGAGTCCCTGCACCCCCTTACAGCCTTGCGAAGCCTGTTTGAAGTGCTGAGAGGAGGGAGGCTGGGATAAATGGAGGGGAGGATGGGCGGGGTAGCTTTGACGACACCACAGGAGTGTGCGAGGCAGGAAACGATACATACCATGGATGAGGGTTGCAGTCGTTTATATCTGTTGAAGGAGCACAAAAGACTTTTAGCGGGAAGTGTGATCGTTGCATTGTTACATCCATGGCAGCTAATTTGTCTTTATTACGATTTTTTTTTTTTTTTTATGACATTGGCAAAGATGGGGAGACTTCAAAGATTTTGGGGTTTATTGATGTGATTTAACAAGAAGGACAAATAGCGGGAAAAAAAGCCTACTTTGGCCGCAGGTGGGTCCTTCCCAGCCATCTTTGCAGATGCAAGTAAAGGTGTTGACTCCTCCCACGCAGGTTCCACCATTCAAGCAAGGAGTTGAGGTGCATATGCTGTTCTTGGCTGTCAAAAGATTCAGGTTAAAATTTGTTTATGAAAAAGGAAAACGTGAAGGCATTTGGTGAACGCACAATGAGGTTTGACCCCCCCCCCCCACAGTGATTTTTTTTTACGATCCCTGAAGAATTCACTGTGCTTAAATATGTTTTTAATTAATAACCCTTAATTCTGAAACCACTTGAAAGCATGTCTCCAGTACACATCTACACAATATAAAGTTGCAACTTTAGGGAAAACATTAAAAACGCAGCTGGATGGTCGCTCAAAGAGAATTTGCAACCGGTCGTTTAAAACAGCTTCACGATTTAGTACAATTTCGGTACAGTTCATTATTCAGCCACAGATCTGGTGCCACAAGTGCTTTAATGGCAGACCATCCACTAAATATGGGTTAGAGGATTATTGAAAAATGTTGTCGACCTATGTTGACCAAGACGACCCTTTTCAGTGTTGACTGCTAAAAGCCTCGCACCAACAGACTATGTGTGCACAACCTAAATTAAAAAGAAGCTCAGTCTACTAGTTAGGTAGGGTTAATTAGCAAAAGATGTCAACTTGAAATAAACACAGCAAACACCGGTGGGGCTTTTAGCAACAACATAGGAAGTACGACAAGAATCCAAAACGGTTTCCCGTTCAATAGCACTCCACAGTGTTTCCATTTTTGGTTATTTGCTTTTACAATATGTGGAGGAGGAAAATCGGATTTTAGTGTAAAAAAAAAAAAAAATAGTCTGCAACTGTATTCTAAGTCCATGTCAGAGCCACTGCAAAATTCAAGCATTTCGAGGGAAGCCAGAACATTCCAAAGGCGTCCCACCTGTGTTGCATGTGTCTCCTACCCAGCCGGGTGGGCAGGAACAGCGGAAGGTGTCCCCGTAGTCATAGCATGTGCCTCCATTACTGCACGTGGTCGCGTCACATTGGCTTTCGCCTGTCCACAAACACACACTCACGTCACACATCCTCAACAGCAAACGGATAGAAAAGCTGAGCAACATGGTGGACTTGAGGCCAGCGAAAAGTGTGAAAAACTCATGACTCACGCGAGTGGCAGGTCTTGCCCTTCCAGTTGTCGACACACTGGCAGTGGAAGTCGTTCACAAGGTCGACGCAGTGACCGCCATTCTTACACGGGTTGTGTTCGCACTCGTTGACATCTGAGGAATCCGGCGAAAAACAACTTTGACCATTTTGGACATATGCAAACCCAACATGGGTTACAAAACCTGTCACATTGCTCATGCAGAAAAAGTGGAAACTACTAAGCGCGCATTCTGGGAGGAGAATGGATGCTTCCCGTTTGTGTAAAGAGTTTAGATTGTAGCGGTCGATTGAGTGCCAAGTCACAAGAAGGAATCATGCCATATGACAAAACTGCATTGTCATCACATTGGGGTCATTTCAGCGCACTGTGACAACTGATACAGTGTAATCGGTTCGTATGAGTCAAAAAGCACTGTAGTGTTCACTATCTAAGATCTCGGTAAAAGATTAGAATCACAGAATATCACCTGTGGCACACCCACCAACAGCACACGTAATCCGTTTGAGTGAACATGAAATTTAGCACCTGCTATTTGTGACCCGAGGGCTCCCCCCAAGTGTTCACGTAGTGTTGGATTTGTTTTAAGTCGAACAGATAAGTCCATGTTGGGAACTTACTGCGGTCGCAGAGTTCTCCCTCCCAGCCGTCAGGACAGACGCATTGAAACGAATTGACGCCGTCAATGCAGGTTCCCCCGTTTTTACATAGGCCACTGAGGCAATCGTTTATGTCTGGAACGTGGAGAGGAGTCAGAGGTTAGGGGTTTCACAACTGCTCAGATGGTAGGCGATCAGCATGGAACAAAAACTACAAAACCACTCTCCTTGAAATGTTGTGGGAGGCGGGCGAGGAGTCAAGACAGAACCTTTCATGTTGGTGTTGACTCAGGATTTTGTTTTTAAACATGTGCTAACATTGCACAGCTTTGTCCGACGTTTTACTTTATTTCTAAGCGATTATTACTTGTATGGAAGCAAATTCAGACACGGGCAAGAGACTCGCATCCGAGTGCCATTCTAGTGAAGGGCTCTGCACATACTCTCATGACAGTAGATGCCGCTGAACCCCAGGTCACAGATGCAAGTGAAGTTGTCGGCCACCCCGCTCACACAGCGCCCGTGAGGTCCGCAGGCGTTAGAGGAGATGTACCGCACTTCTGTGGAGTCGGTGGTCGCTATGGAAACAGTGCAGCTGTCGATAACTGCGAGCAAATAAAGAACAGAAACGGTACAGCAACTTCCTCTATTTGTCCGTTTGCTGGAGCACAGTTTATACAATCGGAGATAGTAAAAGGGGATTTTGTCACACGGCGTACGATTTCATTTTAAGATTTATGGTCACCTAGACAAGGGGTGGTTTTGCAGTCCACCTTGGGTCGATCACAGGTTTTACCCTCAAAGCCCTCGGGACATGCGCAGTAGAAGTCCTGGATCATACTGTGGCACTTGGCCTGGTTCTCACATGGGTTTGGATCGCATGCATCCGAAAGGGATGAGAGCCGCATCTGAAATGGGACGGTCGAGACAGTTTCAAGAAGTCAAAATAAAGCCAAGATTTTCATGTATCAATCCCAAGAGGTGACTAAACTGATTGTTTGGCCGGTGAGCTGCTTCGCTTTGCTCATGCCTCCCCTCCCTTACGAAGATAAACGTTGAAGAGTAAGCCTCCGAAACCTTGCCTAATCTTATGGAGAAGATTCACCCTTTTGTTTGAACATCACTGACATGCTAAATTAGTCTACGCCAAAAGCTTGAAGAGGAGAAGATGAAGATGTTGTTAGCAGACACATTTGGGCGATACATTGACAGGGCCGGTGAAGAAAGTCAAGATAAATGAGCAAAAGGCCCACCTTACTCGTGACCAAGGTGGCATGTTTGGCCTTTTTTTTTTTTTTAACACACTCCAATACAGAGGTTGCCTCCCAAAACCTCCCAAGTTTTTGTAAACATTACTACTGTGCATAAACGCTGGGCTGCACCCGTTGCCATTTAAGGTGCTGAGCAGGAGAGTTTGAGCGGGTCAGCAGAGTGGGTGAAGTCTGTGGTCACACGTAGTTTATTTTAACCCAAGTGTCATGTGCACGTACCAATTTTCTTTACTATTTGGATGTGTGTGGTCAAAAGCCAGGAGCACGAAAGCATTACATTTTAGTGGTTTTCAGAGCATTGACTTACATGGGGGGGCGGGGGGGCATCATTTTGGAGGGCATTATAGAATTTCTTTGCATCAGATCTGGTATTGGTATTGTAACATGCTTATGAGAGCCACGTAAATATGATTAGTCATGTTTGCTAATTAGTACCACTAGCTAACCATTTTCAGGACACAAAAAAAGAAGTCACGGTAGTCTTATTTTTATGAACCTTGGTAATGGAAATAAGTATGTAAATGTGCTGCTCAAAAAAGACGTTTTTTTTTTTAAGCGGGCATGTAGGCAGCACCGCAGCAGACACGGACGGGTGTTTAGTAGTAAGCGGGCAGCAACCCAGCGCCACCTCATTCAGCAAGGCCGGTGTATATAGTGGGGAAGCTAAATCAGGATTGGCTCCTGACCAGCAATGTCCTCCATTCAGGCCCCAAGAGAAGCAGAACAGAATCAGTTTCCTCACAGCTAACCTACATTGGCTTCAAACGCACACTAAATATAAAACGATTACGGCGAGGAGACAGAGACATCATGTGATAGCCAGTACAACCAGGACAGGTGGCCGTACTGTAGACGACTCTTGTTTTGGTCACCGTCGATGTGCAGTCATTTTGAGAACGAATCTTGTTTATTAGGAAAGACAGAAGAGCACACCCTCACTGTCTGCGATACGTGGCATCTTTTTTTTTTGTCTTCACATCACCATTTATCACTTGTATGGCTGTTGCAAACGTTGAAATGTCACTGCCAACATTGGTGACGGTGGTGACAGTGTGACCCGGACACAAATTAATTCATCGCCCGTTATTCCCGATGGGAAGAGGCGCTTAGAAATCCAAACTAATTGGAAGGTGACATAAATCCCAGAGCGTCTCTTGTGCAATTTCCTATTAAATTAGCGCAAAGATAGAATTCTTCATAAAGTTTGGCGAGCGGCTCAATCTAAATCTACCGCGCGATGCGTACCTCACACAGTTGTCCCACAAACTTCACTGGGCACTGGCACACAAAGCCATCTAACACAGCGTGGCATTGGCCTCCATTCTGACAGGGTCTGCTTTCACATTTATTCCGTTGGATTTCACAGTGAGTGCCCACAAAGCCTGGCGGGCACTGGCAGTGGTAACCGTGTGGGTTGTCCTAATGAAGACCAAAAGAAGAAGATTGTGTCATCGAAAGCGCTTCCATCACATGAGGACGTTTTGAATGGAAAGTGACAAACCTTGCAGATCGCTCCATTCAGGCATTGACCGTGGCAGCGGGTCATGTCTGATAAGCAAATACCAGATATTAGCATTCGTTGTAAAATCGCGTGTGGAATGTTTAGAGGCGAGGCCGAGTTGCGAAAAGGTGCGAGTGAAGCCGAGGTTCTTTTCATGCACTGAATCCACAGTGGGCATGCAACTGGTTTCGTGAGGGCACACAGGAGGGCTTGATTGCCAAGACAAGAAAGGAACAAGTTACCGCATGTGACTGAATGAGTAAGCCTAAACTATACCTATGTTGTGAGTCCAGAAGGTGAGTGAAGGCTTTAAAAATGTAAACATTTTTTTTTTCTTTTAGGAGCAGCAGCTCAAAGAAGGAACTACTGGTTGAGAGATTGGAGGGACGAAGATTTCAAAGAAGTGACTAAAATGGAAGGAAAATACTGACTGATGTCACAGTTTTGTCCGGACCATCCCCGAAAACAGTTGCAGTGATATCCACCAATCAAATTTTTGCAAGATTTAGCGTTCACACACGGCTTTCTTGCACACTCATTCGCATCTGTGAAAGCAGGAAGTAAAAGGACTCTGCGTCCGTAAATGGGGACAAAGCAAGGGAGGTACATGGAAGAGTTGCAACCGTAAAAACATTTCTATAGTTGTTGATCGTCAAAGTTGCTTTTCGTGTTGAAATGGAGTAAACCCTTTTTGGGTTTGTTGCTAATGCATCTCCAAAAACGTTCCTCGCGCTCAAATGGGATGCAAATAACGAACGCCCACCACCCCCACGGACATCTAAAGTGTTCCAACAAAGCCCTGCTGCTCAAATATCGAAAGGCATGGTGAAGTGGGGGGTGGGCAGTCCACAGGGGGTCTTTCTGCACTCAAACACACACACACGCATGCATGCACGCACACCTGTCTTCTCTGTGAAACCCTACCCCCGAACACATTCGCACGCACGCACACTCAACGCCAGGTAAGACTGGAAGCCGATTGCCGTTTGTAAACTGAGATCTAAGCTGGTAAATTGAGACGGTCTCTTGGGATCATTTTTCCAGGCCTTCACCCCCCCGCCCCCGCCCTCGAGCGCACACGCACTCGACTTTATTTACCAGTTGTAAATTTCCTGGCCTTACGCCTGTCATGTCTGCTTGGAGAAAAAAATAAATAAAAGTGGGCAGCTGCCATTTTACCAGAATATTGACAATATTATTATCTTTTGGGGAGGGACTTGGGGGTCATAATTCTGCAAGCATTTTAGAGGATGTGGATTTAAATTTTTTTTTAATCATTAAGTCATACACGCTCCTTCTCGAAGACCATGATACTCACCAATCTGGCACCTCTTTCCCTCCCACTTAGGTGGGCACACGCAATCAAAGCCATCTTCCCGGTCGATGCAGGTTCCACCGTGGGCACATGGGTTGGTAGCGCAGGTGTCTGAATCGGAGTGCATACAACAGAGTATTTCAGTTTTGATAGAAGCTGTCAGAGAGGTATCAATTATTGTGGTTATATTTTGAAAGTGTTTAATTTAAATCATGATTCAGTGACAAAAATGAGATAAATGGATTTCAAAAAAATGTTTAGAAAAATAAATAAAAATTCAACGGCACACTACACCATACTGAGATGTGCATCTAAGATGGGCCCATGATTTTCTCTTTTTTTCTTTCGGATTACCGGCATTTTAGAAGCAATTCCAAATATGGTGATGGCCTTTCTCAGCATTCACAGGCAACTGTTCGATTTTAGAGTGCGAATGAACAATCATTTGCACAGCCGCCACATATGCAATGTTGAATTCTTTGTTTTGTGTGTGTGTGTGTGTGTGTGTGTCAGTTCTACAAACTCAAGTAGGAGAGACATGTTAGTTTTTTGGGAATAAACCTTGATTAAAAAAAGAAAAATGCTCAATGAATTATTTCTGCATTGGGGATTCGTTAAATGAGTGTGCACCGTAGAGGTACACACACACACACACACACACACCCACACACGTGTCGAAACTCACTTTGTGCACAGGTTGGTCCTTTCCAGCCTGGTGGACACTGGCACTCGAAGCCCGAGGAAATCTCATGGCATGTACCACCGTTTTCACAAGGACTGGAAACACAGGCGGGCTCAGCTGACGGGAACAACCAACAATGAAAAAGTGTTACTCGACTTCCGGTATGACAGCGAGAGGGTAAGCTGCAAACGCGTGGAGCTCCCGGCCATACGAGCAAAAAACTGAGAAAAAAAAGACAAAAGAACGAAGGCTGCGACTCGAACATAGGACAAAATGGACATGAACAAAGCTCCGACTGGAAAGGGAAAGGAGAAGAAGAAGAAGAAGAGCGAGAAGCAGGCTGAAAACACACACGACAAAGACAAAGGGGGACCGGCGTTAGCGGATAATGCTAACATAGCATTAGCTCGCGACATCGACAAACAACCTGGCTGGGCGTCGGCATTACAGGCTAATCTACAGAGCGGACTCGGAGAAATAAGAGCTAAAATGGACATGGCACAACACAGTTTGGACGTCAAGTTGGACAGAATCGTCAACCAAATTGAGGAGATGAAACAAGGGCTTGAAAACCTGCGAGACGAAACTAATAGTAAATTTGAATCCGTGAACGCTGACATACGGGCGCAAAAGAAGGATATCGAGATACTCTATCTCTGGTAGAGGAATGGAGTGCAGAACTACAGGAAATTCTCAAAGTCTCACTAGAGCAGCAAAGAAAGCTTAAAGAGAAAGTGTCCGACTTGGAAGGAGAGAGTGACCTTCGACCATGACTACGCGACGGAAGTGGCGGCCAAACGTCGAGAGTATGCCGGACTAAAAAAAATTCTAAAAGAGAAGGGAATTAGGTTCCAATCTGCAACGGACACACTGAGGATCCACTGGACCAAAGGAGTGAAGACATACAGCAGCACTCGGGATGCGGCGAAGGCGATGCAGTTGAGAGGATGGCAGGTGCCTAGCCTTGGACAAGAGGACCCGACAACACAACAGAGACTGGAGGCAGCGCGCAAATGGATGAAAACCTAGAGATAAATGCGAGAAAATTCGGATGACACGAGGAGAATGAAGGACAAAGCAGCGGAGGAACAAGGAACTCGGACAGAAAGGCAATTGTTCCCAAAGAACTTTTGGAATTCACGTAACTTTCTTTCATTTTCCGAGTTCTACGGTTGGTGAGTAAAAAAACAATTCTATGTGGGGGTACTGTTAAAAGTATTTGATGGGGGGGTTAACTGAGTCGAAATAATTAGAAATCTGTTGACAGGCTTTGAATGTTATAATGTAGACCAGGGATGCCCAAACTTTTTGGACCGAAGATCTACTTTTCGATCAATCAAGCTCCCGGGATCGGCCCTTACCGCGCGCAGGCGCGCGCACGCACGCACGCCATGATGAAAAACAGCCTGACACGGAGGCATGCATGCACTTTTGCAGCCTGTAAAGGGTACAACAAGCGTTAAACACAATTCATAAGATTAGGTGCCCCAAAACTAATGAATTAGTAAAAGAACCAAAGGAAATAGAGGAAGCATTTGAACATTATTATAAGACCTTATATACACAACCGGATGCAGCAGATGAAGACAGTATCCCAACATTTTTAGAGGGTCTGGAATTACCATCAATAGGGGAAGAAGACAATACATTTTCTGAAATTACTGTAGAAGAATTGCAGATTGCATTCCCCTCAGAGTTTTACAAGATATTTAGACAGGAACGTCCCTTATTGCTATCTTCACTAAGATATACCATGAAGGAGGGCAAAATTCCTCCGTCATGGAAAGAGGCAATTGTCTCTATAATACCCAAAGAGGGCAAAAATAAAGAGTTATGTCATACCTACAGACCAATATCCATACTTAATGTCGATTACAAGATCTATACCTCAATTATATCCAAAAGATTCGAGACATTCATGCCTGAAATTATAGATAGAGAACAGATGGGTTTTATCAAAGGTAGACAGGCCCAGGATAATATAAGGACAACAATACATATAGTGGAGGCACGAGTGCAGTATTGGTGAGCATGGATGCAGAAAAGGCATTCGATAGGCCCACCGTACACTATCTATATAAAGTTATGGAGAAATTCGGCTTCAATAGAGATTCAATTAGAGTTGTACAGACACTGTATAAGGGGCCGACTGCAAGAGTGAAAGTGAATGGCAACTCGACGGACCGAATAACACTTGAAAGATCAACTAGACAAGGATGTTGCCTCTCACAAACACTATTCAATATCTTCATCGAACCTCTAGCCACAACATCAAAGGCGTGAAGCTGAGAGGCTCAGAACACAAATTGAGCCCGTTTGCCGATGATCTGATAACATACGTAACACAACCGGAAGAGAGCTTCCCGAAACTGATCGAACAACTGGAAGAATCTGAACATTACTCAGGATACAGACTTAATGTGACAAAAACACAGATCCTAGCACTTAACTACACTCCATCATAGTTGATCAAGGGAAAATACAAAGTAAAATGGGACAGTGAGACGGTAAAATACATTGGAGTGTATGTCACGAAAAGCATGGACAAACTGTTTGAAACGAATTACACAAAGATTAATCAAGCCATCAAAGCAGACCTTGGGAGATGGTCAACACGTCTTAGACTTAAGCTCCAGAATCGAAATGGTCAAAATGAACATTCTGCCAAGGTTGTTATACCTCTATCAGTCGCTACCTATACCCATACCACAGAAACAATTTACAGAATGGGATAAACTGACCTCGAGATTTATTTGGGGGGGGTAAGCGACCGAGGATCAGACTGACGACACTACAGTTACCAAAGGAGAAGGGAGGATTGGCGGTACCGAATTTTAAAGATTACTACCGTGCAGCACAGCTCAGAGCAGTAACATGTTGGTGTAATGGAGAGTATAAAGCCAAATGGAAAGAAATTGAAGTGATGGCCGAGGGATACCTGACTCAAACACTGCTGGGGGACAGAAGATTATTTCGGGAAAAGGAGGGCTTGATAGATCAAATAACTAAATTCACTTTAAATACAAGAACATGGTTTAAAACTGACCCGCCAACAAAGAACCTATGGTTGGAAATAGTGGGAGAAATATTTGAGTTGGAAAGATTCACATATATATTGAAGGCCCAAGTAGGGAAGTTTAAAACGAGATGGGAAAAATAGGAGTACAAAAACAAAAACAATGAGAAAGACACCACAAATCAGGAGAAGTCACTATAGATTACGGATATAAATCAAAAAAAGGGACACTTGTCACTGTTGATCACAATATTTTGCTATTTTTAGTTGTATGTGTGTTTTGTTTTTTTTCCCCAAATATGCTTGCACATTATTTGTTCAGAGATGAAAGTGGACTTTTCTGAAAATTCCGAAAAAAAAAAAAAAATTATATATATGCGCACACACATTTGTGGCTTTCGTTCTCGCCAAAATTTCGAAATCTCCGAGATACGGCGAGGCCATGAGAATGCAAGGCGAGAGGATATTACTGTTGTGGCGACGCCACTCAAGCTAAGCGAGCCTCAGCAGTAGATAGTCCGCTGCTCTCTGCTGTGCGTGCTTCAGCGCGAACATGTACGCAAGCGCGCCTTTTGATTTCAACCAATCAGCGCCGACGCAACGACGTCACACACCCGACGTCACACACGACAACAGCTAAGCTCAGCTAGCCGCGACGACACTCGAACTCGGACGGATACGTTTTTCTGCCAATCTGTGCGTTTCCCTTTTTATCCAAATATATTTTTACGACAACTGTCTTGTCCACGGTGTCTTTTATTCGTTCCACTGGGGTTTAGCAAGTGTGTTTATAAAGAGACGAAAATCTCTTTACTGTTACTAGTGTTCGTGTCTCAACATGGAAGCAAAACAACGAACTCAAACGCGTCTTCGTTCAATGTTGTCAACTAATATCCAGATTAATTTCCCTAAATTCTCCGAAGAGATTTTCCTAAAAATTTGAAAAACCCAGAATTCCGGGAAAATCCGCAGGACTTTCATCTCTGTTTGTTGTTTCCTATGTTAAAGGACCTTCACAGCCATTCATGGACGTTGTTGTGGAAACCAACCACGGGTGGAAATATACGAAACCCTTTGTATTCATATGTTGAGACTTGTATGGTCCTATGTGTTGTTGAAATAATAAAGATGCAAGTTATAATAAAAAAAAAAGAAAAAGCGTTACTCGAGTTGAGACGTTGGAAGTCTTTCAAAGTAAAATCGTGTTTCATCTACTTTTCTCAGACCACAACTCCACTTGCACAAAGGTTCAGTGGAGTGGCCGTCCGTCCTTGCTGTACATAAACACTCACCAATCTGACATGTCTTGCCCGAGTAGCCTTGTGGACACGAGCAGTAGTACCCATCAGGCTTAATGTTCAAGCACGTTGCCCCGTTGACGCACGGCTGGTGCCGACCGCAGTTATTGAGATCTGGAGCGCACAACGATGGCACCAGACACGTCAATGTAGCAAACACACAACTTCAAGGTGGATCAAGCATAAACATTGAGGAACGCGGTATGACATCATGGATCAGAGATGAAAGTGGACTTTTCTGAAAATTCCCGAAAAAAAAAAGAAAAAAAAATATATAAAAAAAAAAAATGCTCGTCTCACCCCTCGGGTGGTGTCCATCCCTCATTCAGCTCGGGTCCTCTACCAGAGGCCAGGAAGCTTGAGGGTTCTGCGCAGTATCCTTGCTGTTCCCAGCACTGCACATTTCTGGACTGAGATGTCCGATGTTGTTCCCGGGATCTGTTGCAACCACTCATCTAAACATGTACGCAAGCGCGTCTTTTGATTTCAACCAATCAGCGCCGACGCAACGACGTCACACACCCGACGTAACACACCACAACAGCTAGGCTAAGCTAGCCGCGACGACACTCTAAGTCGGACGGACACGTTTTTCTGCCAATCTGTGTGTTTCCCTTTTTGTCCAAATATATTTTTTACGACAACTGTCTTGTCCACGGTGTCTTTTATTCGTTCCACTGGGGTTTAGCAAGTGTGTTTATAAAGAGACGAAAATCTCTAGTGTTAGTGTCTCAACATGGCTACGCTCGTGAAAGCAAAACAACAACTCAAACGCGTCTTCGTTCAATGTTGTCAACTAATATCCGGATTAATTTTAGGCAAATGTTTCTCAATTCTCCGGAGAGATTTTCATAAAAATTTGAAAAACCCGGAATTCCGGGAAAACCCGGAGGACTTTCATCTCTGATGGATATACAGATGGAGTACGACATGTGGATGCTTATTTGGAGCTGAGAGAAAAAAAAAAAGTCTTCTTTCTCCATAAAAATGACAAGCTCTCGGAGCGCTATCGGTTTCCACTGTATCCTCAACTTTGCTAATTGGCTGCCAACATTCATCCGCTCGGTGCCAGGAGTTCCCTGGAAGCTTGTCGGAGTCGTCGCTCAGTATAGAGCACCAGCTGTCATTTTGACGGGAAGCACTGAGTGTTTCCTCAACCGCTCTGCCGCTCGGCGTCGGAGCTTGCGGTTGTTCACAGGATGCGCCCGAGGAGTTAGAAACTCGTCCCTGTTAATTATTCATCAGCCATGGAAACAATTATTTCAGAAAAATTATACCCTCAGCTCGGCTTGTTCCTTTGTGCTTTTTTTTCCCCACACACAAACCCCGACAACTTAACCCATTTGATCCTTGCGAAACGGAATTAGCCTAAAGGGCAGGTCACACGAAAGGCTGCTAAATAAATGAACAGGGATGAGTCTCCGCTGGGGATCTTCGGACCCACTCTCATCCACCAAAGTGCACTCAAGTGACGAGGAGGATGCGTGGGGATCAAGTATCCCCGATGGTGCTCGAATCACACGAGCAGTAAAACTATACAGCTGCTATTTTCCGGTCAAAGACGTCCGTGACCCGACAAAGGCAGCGTGACACACATCAAGGTTAGTTTTTCGCTGCTGAATAGTGAGTGAGCCAGCGTGTCTCGAAGGCAAATTAAAAGCGAATGGCAGATCAGACGATAAATATGTTGTGTCAATAGACTATTTCTTGAAGAGAACACATAGCTTGAGGGTACCTGCAGGAGGACAGCGTGCCAATTTCGGAAGCATGGGAGGTGGCGACAAAAAACCTTTGGCATACCTTGATTGCACAACAGGCCACCCCAGTTATTCTTGCATCTGCACTGCCAGGGCATGTCGCAAGTGCCGTGGACGCAGCCGGGGAACAGGGTGCACTCATTGCAGAACTGACCCTTCCAGCCGTAGTTACACCTTGCCGCACACACACGGAAAATAAGAATGTCACAACATTCGTCCGACTCCAATAAAGTTGACATTTTAATACCACAACTTGAAAATATGATTTTCACAATGATTTAAAGAAGAAATGATATTCCAACATTTCCTGAACATTTAACAATTAAATCCTTGTACACACACACACACACACACAAAAAAAAAGAAATCACACCCCGCATCCTGTTGAAATGTGCGAGTCAACCAGAACAAAAATGAACCCTGGCGTAAAATATTTGTGTTGAGAAATACGAACATGTCAGTGCTTGAAAGCAGCCTTGTGACAGTCAGATGAAAATGTGGATTCTATAAGCTACCCCAAGTTGTGGGAGATGCCGACACATGATGCTTCCACTTCACCTGTCTGGGCAAAATTGCTCCATTATTTGGAACAAGCATTGAGCACAATATTCACTTCCCGTTTATTGTGCAGCCAATGTAGGGAGTAAACTAGTTGGGAGCGAATCCAACCGGTCCTCTGCTGGTTGCTACCAAGACATCCATCCATTCCTCTGTGGTTAGGGACCCGGCAAATTACCACAAATAATGGACCACCCCACTAAAACAGATGATAGTTTCCTCAATTCATACCATTAAAAAAGATCCCAAAAGACCAGCATTTGAAACACTTGTAAACGTTATTGTATCATGTTTTGGGTCAACCCATCCTAACCCTACTGACTAATCTTCGAGGTAGGTGACATTCCGGGGCAGGAGGGGTTAAGAATACATTCAGCAGGCTCCTGTTTGGACTCGGCTGGGGGCAGCGCGGGGCGGGGGGGGATCTGTAGGCCTAAGATGACGGTGTGCGGCGGCTTCTGAGAGCGTCTGGAGACGGCCGTGTGTTTACAGAGGCTGTGCACGCGCCTGCCGCTTCATGACAACACCCGGGCTATTCCGAGGCTGTGGTGTCGTCGAGCCAGCTGTCTTGTCAATTGGCTTCTATTTTGAGCCGGTGCTCCTGCAGACGGCACCGCTGCCAATGTGAGAAACAAGGTCTTTGAACGTCTCTTAGTTGGGGGGGAGGGGGGTGTCTAAGAATACTTGGCATGCTTTGCTCCACTCTATTTTAACGGCTCGGTGGGGTCTGACAGCAACGTGTCAATAACTTCGCCGAGGAGATGCGGTCAGACCTGTCTTCCAACCTCCTTTTGCCCCAATTTATGAGTTTTTGAAGTTACAAGCAGTTGAATTGTTGGGTTTTGTCTTGCAAGCGAGCTTCAGACACGCTGCCTCTCCCGTAAAGTGCCACAGCGCCGTTGTACTTTCACAGTCTTTTATCGAAAGGGCCAAACAGACAAATGTAAAACGCTACAGTAGGCCAAAACGTATGCCTCGATGTTCAACTACTGATGTCAGTAACTCTGCTACGCCTCTAAAAGGCGCACACACAACGTTTGTCCTGACATTACACTTGATATTTTCTTTCTATTCTCTTCAATTACGATTTGCGTTTTATAACTCACGAGGCTATTTTTTATCATTCAGGCGCTACAAGGGATTAAGGGCCTGATTCCAATTGGGAATAGTGAAATAAAATACGAGCAGATTGAGTGTAGAACAAATTAATCTCCTAAATTAAGGTCCCACTGTCATGCGATACGAGATCTGGTGCGCTGTCTAAATACTTCCCGGACAGCAACGATTGTTTTCAACATAACGGCGGGGAATTTAGTCGGGGTTTTACGGCTTTGGTATTTCCTCCGGAGGTGGAACGTTGCAAACTTGACTTTGTCCGCCATCCCATACCGGAGCGACACTGAAATAAAGGCAGAACTAGGCCAGCTTTTTTACAGGCAGTGTCAAAGTGGCTTCTGGTTGTGGGTCTCGACAGGCTTCTCGGGATCAAATCTAGGCGGTGTTCGCGCCATTACTCATCTGCAAGTAGGCGTGGGTCGGATTCCACACTCACGGCTATGCCACGTGTTAAAAGAAGCCAGAGTCGTGAAATACAGGCAACACCATTTCACCATTTATCCTTGGGGCACGCCAAGCCTTTGCCGAATCCGTCAGAACAAGCTCATTTGTTATAAAGATCCGATATATCGCAGTCCCCTATGGAGCACCAACCAAAGCCCTCATGCAAAAAAAAAAAAAAAAAAAAAAAAGCAACTGGGGAAAGCCTCTGAAATGGATGAAATAAAAAGAATAAAAGGGAGATCACAAGGGATTTATTGCATGCTTTCTGTGACCCGAGGCTTCATTAAATTCATGCCAGAGCAGGAAGAATCTTTACTGCGGCTCCTCCACTCATATCACTTTTCCTGTCTGCTGGGACCTGACATTTCAGGAGGAGAAGATGCCTCGCTCCTTTTCTTCGCCCGCTAACTGGAGTGAGGAGACAGTCAGGTCAAGCCTCCTCTTAATAATCGTTTCATCTAAGAATAACACAAAGCAGGTGTTGATTTATTAGGACGACGTGAGGGGCACCAAGTTCCAAATACACACGGTCGTATTATGCCGTGTATGTCAACGTCGCGTTCTACAACTTTTCAATTTGTATTTTTAGGTCTGACCTTTGCCCTTAAAAAGAGAAGCGCATTGCAGATGAAGAGAGAATGTGGCGATTCCCGGCACGTTTACAGTGCTCACACTGACAACCCCCGTCTTGGGCTCGAGTGGTGAAGTGAAGAAAAAAAAAAAAAAACACGATGAGATGCTTGGTATTCTGTGTGGGATTTGGGCAGCCTAAAAATATAACGCGTCAGGCAAGGCATTGCCTGAGCTAAACTGAGATGGAGACGCCTGAAAGGAAGAAAAGGAACAAGAAAGGAAGGCATGGCTGAGGGTGACTGTTCAGAATGATCCCTTCGGGATTAGTTTGGCGTCACCTCAGCAAGTGCAGGTTGCTGTTTTGGTGTTCACGTTTGTTTTGGTGATGACAACGCAACTTTCGGTAGAGCGAAAGGAGGAATCAAGAATACTGATGCTGCTCAAGAGCGGGACTGTTTGGTACAAGTTGGATGGTAGACCTCCTAACAGTGATGTCGTCTTCAAGACAATGCGTAAGATTTCAGTGACCACAAAACATACTCTGACATAATAAAATCCGAAGACTAGCAGGAGAATAAGTGAATCCTCTCGTCTTACCTGCATTCCCCTGGAACGGTGCAACCACCACGATCCGGATCACAACCTAGCTTGCAGATTGCTAAAGAGAGGGAGGAAAAAAAGAGATGAATGTTTTATTCAGAAAAGTGAATTTACAGCAAAGAGTACAGAAAGGGAATCATATCGAAGGGCAAGTGGGTGGAAAGAGGCTTGTTGGTCTGAAGCGAGTGCAACAGGACATGATTAATGTTTCCTTGGGCAGGGTTAGAGGTTAAGGGGGGCAAAATTTTATAGCCTGCCTGTACAACAACAACAACAACTCGGCTGAAAAAACAAATGAAGCCATCGACATTCACACCAGTAGGGGCATTGTGAGTTTCAAGGCGGTACTGTCAATTATTTCCAAAGTATGTAAAATCCTTTATGAATTCCATACTATTTAATTGAAGAAGAGCGAGCAAAGAAGGCCCCCTACTAAGCAGATCGAATATACGGCTGTGAATAACGGAGCGCTTTATGCCTATCCTACAAATTATTAACGTGGCAAAAAACAAACAAAAAAAAATGTTTTGTAGCAAAACACTGTGTGCAGTATGCATGATATAATTTTCGTTGTGGCATCTCCAATTCAGACAGCAAACCAAACTCCTGCACAGCAAATCTTCCGCGGTAAAATGGCTGCTGCGCGTCGGGCTGCCGCGATTGAATAATTTTGTATTTGAAGAGCCTACTGAAAATTCGATCGAAACAATCGAGTATTCTGATAAAAATCATACATAGTAGCTCGTGCGTCCCTCTTTAAGCCGAAATAAACAGTCGCTCAAAGCAGCCAAAATGCGCTTCTTTTGGTCTGGAGTAACCAAGTTGCGTGCGTGGATGTGAATTCCGCCGAAATACATTCGCTTTACCAATCCAAGTCCAACAGATTAGTAGCTGTCAAGCATGCAGCAGAAGCATACTTTAACGCCAATTTCAGTTTTGTCTCACGATAGCTTTGCCAAACCTGGATTAAACATCTAATCAACACGAACGGAATCTGTAACAACAGGTCTGGGGAACATCGCTAAAGTTGCGCTACAAGGTACAGGTTTTTTCCCCGTCACTGCGGGCCAGACAATCGGCAAACGAGTCTACAAAGAGATCACGAGGCATTCGCGATGATCAGTGCGCGAGAAGAGGCCTTCATTTGTCATGCTCGCCGGATGGTAGCTCACCTGTCTTACAGTTGGGACCCATCCAGCCATCCAGGCAAACCTGAGTGCCTGCCTCATCACAGCTATAGTGGCCAAAGTAGTCGTCGCGAGGGTTGCACAGTTTATTGCACTTGTAGCCGTAGTAGTTGTCGTCGCAGCGCACCCGGGTGCGGTAGGTGATGCGAGCCACGGGTCCGTCGTATCGGACGGTCTCCCAGGGGTCGCCGGGGTTGGCCACGCCCCTGTGAGAGCTGCGCTCGATCAAGTGCTCCTCATCATCTGAAATGAAGGTTGAAAAAATAAAAAATGCAGCCCATAAAAATAAGGGTTAACTAGTTTAGCTTCGTCAAGTGCAAAAAAAAAAACAAGAGGAAGTTATGCTTTTGCGACATATGTACAGATATATTTGATACCACCAGTGCACCGATTTTCAAAACTTTGCGCAATTATAATATTCTATCAGGCATGATTGCTTCACCTTTACACACTCGTCGCCCCCCCCCCCC